CGAGGTAAGCTGGCCATTCCTGTGAACCCTGACCTGTTCCCCTGCCTCTGATGCCTGTCTCAAAGACGTTCTCCCCCGGAGTCTGACTGTCTCCTGTTCTGTACTGCTTCGGGAACGCTCAGGTATGTTCCCATTGTGTGACATTTTCCTCCAAGGAAATGAAATTACGTTTAGTACAACATTTTGCAGATATTTCATCCAGAGGTCTCATCTCCACTGTCAACCCTCTTGTCAGGGTAGTGATGACTGTGTTCTCCGTTAGATGAGTACATGCGTTCTCCTTGACATCTGGCTTTTCTCTCACAGGTGGGAGAACTGTAATCCATAGTGGTGGCGGGCCCTGCTTGCCTTCCCTTCAAAGTGCTTCGTTTGCACTCGTGTTCCTGTCCCAGGTTTTGCCCACTTCTATACTAGAAATGAGGGTGTCTCAATCCAATCCGTTGTGTGGGTCTTCCTGAGATTTACCTGTCCTGTGTTGCCAACGTGGTGCTGGTGCTTGCACTGGTCTATGATGCTGTTTCGAGGGTCTTAAAGCGAGCATATACCCAGCCATAATTCCTGGGTCCTCTCGTCCAGCATTATGATGACAGGTAATGAAGTGCCTGTTGGGAGACACTGGACATGAGAGCAGTAGAGTTGCTCCTATCAGCATGTCAGGGCTCGGTGTCAGAGATGTTGTTTTAGATCACCCGCATGCACGCGGTAGCCGTATTGCACCAAGTGTTTGGTGCTAGAAATGGAGCATCCAGTGCATGAGCCAGGCCTGTCCACAAAGACGGGTCCAATCATGAATACACAGGGTGCTGCTTCACAGCAGAATGATTCACAGAGTAAACGTTCCTCCAAGGCCAAGTTTTAGAAATCATCCTAATGTGTTGTGGGATATGAAAGGGGAATCGTGTGGCGGTGTCCTGGAGGTGAACGTGATGGTCAAGAAGGTAGAATGCATTGTACTGGATTTCCAGAACATGAATCCCACATTCACGGCCTTCAGTGTCTCAGATGCTGTTGTCCCCTAAGGAGCTGGTTACAGTCAATGTCCTGTATGAAGAGAGGTCGTGGCACATTTCCAAGTATTTCTTCTGCCGAACGGTGTTGCCAGTAATGGAAGAAACGTCATGCACTTGCTCTTCCTCCTCTTGTCCTTCAGTGAGTGGATAGCCTCTCGCTTCTCTCCCCACTGGGTGTCCCTATGGTGATTATTCTTAGAGTCCTAGGTTCGGATTAACCCTGGTTGTCTCCTCCTCCACGACAGGTCCTATTCCACTCTTCTCAGGCTCATAGCCGGGTACTCATAGCATGTGCACCCTGCTGGGAAAGCACATCTGGCAACATATTCCCAGTTCCCTGTGAGAGAAGAGGATTCGCCCTCCCTTGAAGGCAAGGGCACTTTTACCCCAGAGCCGGTTTCCCTGTTTTGACTGTCTTCTGTTCTGTGCTGTTTCAGGATCGCTCATGTATGTTCCAATTGTGTGACATTTTCCCCCAAGGAAATGAAGTTACT